ATTCAAGACACGGACAAAGGAATCAGGGAGGGTCAGCACTGGATCATATATGGAATCGGGACAGAAGCGGAAGTGAATATAACCAACTATGCCTAAACTTAACCGGCCATTCCCATAGTATAACCCCAACACACCCATAACTCTAACCTTAACCATCTTGCTCAGACACCTAAAACTTAACCAGTCACCACTTAATGACTTGTTAGTCCTTAAGAACTATATCAAATGTAGGATTGTTACTTTCGCTCTTGTCCCGCTTCTGTATATGATCCAGTGCCGACCGATTGGGTGGGGCATCACCAACATCAACCATGACAACGGAGCCTTCCTTTTGACCGACACATAATATGTATGTAATGTTAAACCACCAATGTAAAGCGGTAGATAGAGAGAATAATGCAAAAATGAGGCTCCAACCGAGAACATACAGAAATACCGACTTCCCAAATCTTCAGGCCTCTTCCTTGTCCTTTCAAAAATCAATGTTGTGCAATTGTAGTATTATTTGTGATATATATTATATAGATATATTCTTGACCAACGATATCAATTTTTGTTACAGTTTAAATGGAGCTGCAATAACAGATGTAAGACAATGATAGCTTCATATACATCAGCCAAAGGAATAATTTATGTAATTTCTTAATGCAATCGTGACAAATTTTGTAAGCGTATCATTATGGGATGGCGCTTTGTAACAGCGCTGCAACAATTGTAATCTGGTAATCTGTTTAGCAACATAAATAATTTGAGACTTTACTCTGAACAGTACTGCCCTCTGGTGGTTATTGTAACGCATCACAGCAATCTGCAGTAACCACATAAAAAAATGTAGTATTACTTTTTAAAAAAAGGTTTATCTCATCTGGTGTATTGTGTGTCTGTGTGCATTTAATTTTTATTTTGTAATTTTTCACTTTTATCAGAGATGCGAGACCTCTGAACAGACTTTACTTGAAATTACTTGTGGAAAACATTTATATTTAAGAATTAGAAATGCATGTTTGAATGTATTTCTTTGTGCAACTCATCAGTTCTGTGTGCCTAATTTCAGAAACAAAAAGTCCAAGGAAAAAAAAACAAAAAAAAAGAGTAACATGCAACAGATAGGCAATTTGTGTGATGTCATTAAACCTGATTTTTGCTCTGTGTCGCAATAGCGAAGGGAAAGGAAGTTACATGAGATACAGTTTAAGAAGTAATACAGTTTCATAAAGCACCAGAAGAATTAATTAAATATCAAATCAATTGAATCATACATTGTGGGATTTAAAATGTGAATGTGTTGTTTTATTTTTGAAGATGCACAATGTTATACATCCATCCATCCATTTTCTACCCTTTAATCCATTTCTGGGTCAGGTCACAATGTTATACAGTAAAATTAATTCAACCAAGAAAAAAGCTCAAATACTCATAGGTTAGAACCAAATGTTGTCGTGTGGAACTTATTTAGGTCAAGTGAAGTTGTGTTTGTGCACTGTTATGGTTACTTGAAGATCAATACAGTTCATCTTGACTGTGTGTCAATCCAAAATCTAAATTGTGATTTAAAACGTATATATGAGGATTTTATCATTTTTTTATGAAAGAAAAGCCCTCTCGACTGTTTGAACAAAACTCCCACTGGTCTTATTTGAGGAGCATGTATCACCAGAATGATTGACAATTGGGAGGACCAATCGTCTTGATGATCCACCGGGAAGTAGAAAATCCTCCTATGTACCTTTAAGTATAATGTATAGGCCAGCAAAAGGTACACTGCATGAGTTTTCTTTTTGTGTTTTGGAGCTGGAACCTTTAGTGCAGGCATGTCCAAACTCGGGCCCGAGGGCCAATTGCGGCCCTCTGTGCCATTCCATATGGACCTTTGCTGCTAACACAAAGCAGCCATTGAGGCAATTTGACAGTGTCATCCAACCAACTTCAGATCCACCAATACAGTCCTATACCTTGTTGTGTACATTTATTTATGATTGTATTACACAATTCCAAATAGTGCAGCTGTGGTGTGAATCAATAAGGATTTATCATAAACCATTTTAAATTCCAGAATCCAGACAATCCAGTATTTTAATTCCAGATTGTCGGCCCCAGGTCAAGTCTGATCGACTAAAGTGGTCTTCTTACTAAAAAGTTTGGACACCCCAGCTTTAGTGGAACCAAAGGCACAAAGAAATCCCTCCATGTTCCTGCTTTATTAAAATACTGAACGTACGGACACCAGCAGTGAATGAACAAAGATACAGACACTTCTCCACTCCATGTTCAATATATCCTCTTCATATTTATTCTTTAGACTCAGGGGGAGGGAAGGGGTGAAACAGCGGATTTTTTACAGCACAATTTGCATATTCATATGTGAACACGTCCTGAACGAGCACATGAGAAGCAGAACCATGGTGCGCTTTGAAGACAGTGAAAACAGGAGGAGGCCGATACGAGCAGGGGGCTACACAAGCGCATACACACACACACACACACTACGCAGACGCACTGAGAACATGCAACATCCAAAGGCCAGGACCACTATGGGACTGCAGGGGGCGCTGCGACAGAGACAGACGCACCCACAGTTCAGGATTCTGCAGTTTGAATGGGGTCAGTTTTGGCAAAAAATGTGTGCAATTGGAAGAAGTTTAAAAAATAGCATTTAAAAAATATTAAAAAATAAATACAATAGTTGTTTTTTTTAACAAAACAACATTTTACAAAAAAGTTGTTATTGATTTGTTAAAAATGTCAAAAAATAAATTCAATTTTGTTATGTGTAAGTTTATTTACCTACATATTCTTAGAGGCTTCAAATGTATTTTCAGACCTAGATCAAAATCAAAACCAAACAATCTGATTTCTATTATTATTCATCCTTCTTGAACATATTTTTTTATATTTTAATTTTTTTGGCCAAAGAACCCTATATTCAAACCAGAACTCTGAATGTATACCCGCTGAATAGATACATAATACCCAGGATTCCGGGTCATTTGAACACATTCCTCTTGTTTGCAGTTTTTTTCAGGAGTTTGGGCGGCGACAGGAAAATGGTTTTCACAGATCAGTGGACATTGAAAACGCACTCTTCATTTACAGCTATAGAGACAGGCATCTGTACAATTACATACATGGTATTCTTATTTTTATACACGCACATGCTTGGACAAATATAAACATTCCATCTTTGTAGAAAATAAACACTTTATGTACACATAGTCACATTCACGCTCCCCCAAAAAGAAAAATAATTAAAAAAACGCTTCACGATACATCATTTTTGAACCTATATTTTCTCTATAGGGCAAATGACACATGGATCTGAATGGATTATTTACCATACTGTACACAGTTCATACCAGCTTGTGCATTTTTCATTTTTTTGCCACAATAAATATGTATATTTTTTACTTTGTACACTTTCAACCCACACAGCTTTTTATATTTTCATGACAGGAAAAATAAATTGAATATTGGTAAAGTGCACAAGCTCCGAGTGGACGCCAACACCAATATTTACTTTGTCATAAAAAAATAAAACATGTCAAAAAATGAACACTTCTCCGACACGATATGTAACACAAAAAACGACGCATTCAAACGTAACTTGCATAGAATTACCTTAAAACGACTTGAAAAGTAAAAACATGGCACAACAAATCGACCAAATCACATCCCCTCATTGTCAGGAAATGTCATGACGTAATTTTTTTTTTCCATCCGCGTTTTTTTTTTCCCTCAAAATTGTACGTAGTTGCGTCAGCCCTGTTTCGCCAAAATACACTTGCGGTTCGCTGAGTTGGTTGCGTCTTTCCGGTGGCATAAATGTACACACAATTGCCTGCCCCGCGTTTTTTTCCCAATTGGAAAATGAAAGCTTTGCACGGAACCAAAGAGAGCGTCCGTCCAAGGCAGTGAAATCGGCTGGTGTTGAAACAAGTTCGGACGTGACGTTTTGATATTTTTTTCCCAACGTTACAGCCATGAAGACATGACACCGCAAAAAGACCAGATATGTACGCATTTTTTTTCACTGAGGACCAAGACAGGAAGCGAATGGAGGCCTGAGGATGACCCACTTTTATTCAGAATTGATTTGTAGACGCTTGATGGCTAAATTTGCAATGCTCATGAATAGTTTGTTAGCGAACGCTTGTTTTTCTGCCTGTTGTGTCTCAATAAGCACACCCAATCACGTATTCTGAACTCAAAACACGCAGGAATCTCTCTCAAAACATATGCGAGGGTGTAAATGACAATGGTAAACATCTAAGCTATGGTCAAAAGCTGAGAAAAGTCCATTTAGCATGTTTTAAAGAGTTTTTCATTAGCCTGGTTGTACTGGACTCTGCTCTCTCGGTGTGTAGCCAAAGTCACATAGTGTTGCGTTGATGTCATATTTCCTTAGTCTTGTGCACATTCATTCTTAAATTTTCTCGTAAAGCTGTGCCATTTTGAAATTCTACCGCTCTTGCTACCCAAAGTCCAGGTCCGTCAACACCAAACCATCCCCATATATATTTCTATAGACACGAATGGATTGTCAGTGCACTATCGTCAGCCCTGGTTCCATAAAGTTGTCTCTGAATCTGATATATTTCGTAAGCCTCTATCATAGCTGTACAAAGTCTTTCTCTATGATATAATCTGTAATAAATACAATTAATAAACTCTTCTGCTTTTCAACGTCGGACCTTTCTCTCCGCCAATGAAACATCCGGTCAAAACTGAAAACGGACTAACAATTAAGAGCACTACGATCACATGTCACTATCGTTGTTAAGGCTTCACGGACACTTCCAAGAGAACGTAAAAATGCACGGAACATTATTAAGTTAAGCTGGTATGGAAGTCTGTCGCGGTTTCTCTGTGTGTGCGTCCGAACCCAGACACGGGCGGACCTGTGTGCTGGCAGTGTTTCGTTTTTGGGGATCGGCTGCAGGTTTTGAGGCTACATCCTTCCTCCGCGGCGGGGGTGGGTCGCGTCCGGTCGGGCTCGGCGCGGTTCAGGGGTTGGTGAGGGCGGTGCTGGCCAACAGCTTATGCCAGCTGACCACGCGCTTCCTCATGTCCACCTTGTCCAGCCAGATGTACGCCTCTCCGATGAGGGTCTTCTTCATGAACTTGCCTCCGTTGGACACCAGGAAAAGCTGGTGAGAAAATGCAAGGGGAGAAAATTGACAAAGTAGTTTAAAGCCATGGCCAAATTATTATATGTTTTCTAAAGGTGCCAGAAAACTTAGGTACATGACTATACTTACTGTAACTACAACAAATAACCAATGTAAAAAAAATTCCAGCGAATCTATGAAGACTAAAAAATAGAACTGGATGGAACCAATCTACTTCCTTCTCCATCCATCCATCCATTTTCTACCCTTTAATCCATTTCTGGGTCAGGGGGGTGACAGTCAGAGATGCCACCCAAGTCTCATAGCACCAGCCCCTCACTGATCCTCTGCAGGTGGTGAGTCCACAGGAGGACGGCTGCTCTCTGAGTGTGAGCATAGCCTTGATCTTTCAGTGGGGGTTTTTGGGCAAAGTGGGGTTAAGTGTCTTGCCCAAGGACACAACGACAGCAGTCATCAGTGGGAGTCGGTGGACTTCCTTCTCGTCTGGCTTAATCAAGAGTTTTCACATGCAAAATGTAAAAATAATGGCCAAACTCAGCCAAACAGCTCTTAGCTTAAAGCCTCAATATTGACTCACATAAGATAAAGACAGAATGTGTGGTCTAATTTATTCAAAAGTTAGGTAGTCCAGCTTTAAATCCACAAAAAGCTGCGACTATTTGGAAGAGATGGAGGATATACCGATGAATTTAGTGTGTAGCCATAGTTCCACCAAAGTATTCAACAATCTGCAAGCAAGTTCTATTATTGGATTTCAGAGCAAAATCAAACATTGTATACAGGGGCTTTCAAAATTAACATTGCCACCCCAGATATGTTTTTGGTGGATGTGATGGGGGCTTGTGTGGTCACCTGTATGGAGTGGCCGGTGGGGTTAAGGGGGAAGCGGAAGGTCTCATTGAAGGACGGCTCTCGGTCATGGCGGCACACTCGGGTCTTCTTCTTGATGATCCTCTTCTGAGTGGCCACGTTCACCACGTACAGCTTCACGTAAAGATCTGAGGGAGGACAGACATCAGCAAAAGTGTAAGTCACCAGCTCTACACACACTCGGATATGTGTTGGTGAATCGACAGCTTTGTAAAGTTCTCATGGATAATTACTGTTGTGATTTAGGGCTATACAAAAATAAATGGAATGAATTGGTTTACTCCTGCTCTGTTGGAATGGAAACATGCAGCCCGCTCAGGAACCTGCTTGCCTCCCCAGACCTAAAGTATGTGGTTTTGCAAACCTGGGAGGTGGTCCGCGCTTTTGAACTTGTACGTGATGTTTCTGCACTGGAGAATCTCCAGGACCAGCTGGTCTCCTTCTGTCTTCACCTCCTTCTTCAGAGCCACTTTGATCTCCCCCATCACCTGCACTTTTCCACCTGCTGACACAACAGTCGAACCAATTTATTATCAGTGTTAAAAGTGTCAACGCAAAGTATGTAACACAACAACATAGAAACAATCACACAAGCCATTTAAAGGAGCAGTATGTCAAAATCTGGCCAAAAGTGGTACTGCAGTCACAGTCAATATTTTGTAGTCCTCTCCCACTCTCCCTGACTCAGGTTGCCAGATACACACCAAATCCAGCAGCAAACACAAGGAATAATTGTATCAGTTGTTTGTCTGTCTCTCACATTGCCATGAGAGCCGTGCTAATGTTAATTGAATGTTTTGAAGTAATGTTTTTTTATTTTTTTTATTTGGACATTTGAGATGAGAAAAACTAGATAAAAGCAATTCAATTATGCATAGATTACGCAAAATAAATAAGCAATTGATGTCCAAAATAGGAGTGGGTAAGGTATGTTGGAATATATTTCTTCAGCGAATCAACATCAGAGTTTCCTCCAGAGGATATCACTCTTCAATTTTATTTATTCCTTATTTTTTAGACAAACATGTATAAGTCCCACATCAAAAAGAGACTAACATTATTTTCATTGGGGTACATGTGGTCTCAAATTATTCTTTTTTACAAATAAGCTATAATTTGCAAAGAATGTCTTGATTATTGTCTTTTTCCTGATTTTGAGGAATCTGTCTACCCATATTCGAACTCGGGTCGCTGGAACGTAAGCCCTGTGACCACTAGGCCACCTTTAAACACAATAATTGGGGCGGAGGGAAACGTAGTGAATCCAGAAAGTTTTGCATCACACAAAAACTTTTATCCGCTGTCTGAATTGTTCAAAGGCGTCCCGATATAAATCCTCGTTTTAGTCTTTGTTTTGTCATTAATGATTTGAGAGTCATAATAAGACCTCTTTTAGTTCTGCGGCCACATGTTATTTTACCAGTGGGATTAGCCGTGAGGAGTTGTGGCAACCCGGAAGTCAGACTTCCTGATTGGCGAAACGGCAAAGGGTAGAACATCTAATTAAAATAATAACAACTTTTACGGGGTGTAAAACTAATTTTGATATTCAAATATCTCGGCTGAACTATTGTTATCAGTTAAAGATGTATTCGAAAAGAGCATGATTTAATAACGCCTTTTTAAATATGGGGGCCATTTAAGGATGACCTGACATGCAAATATTACATATTGCTACTTTAAATCATAAATAACAACAGTACATTTTAAAAAGTGAAGATACAATCCTTCAGTTGTACGCACAACTAACAGAACTGGTTTTAACCTGGATTTGAAAATGGTTTCAATAGAAGCCTGTCTCACATTTTCAGGAAGACTGTTGCGGATTTTAGATGCATGCATCAGAAACACTGCCTCCCAATGTTGTGTTTGTTCCTGTGGTAGAGAATAGCGCAGTATCTTGTCTACTACGTCTTCTTTGACAATCCACTCAGTCATGGCCGTTTTCTGTTATTTTCTTTTGAGGATGTGCAATCAAAACGCATTGCGCAGACTTCATGTTTGCAGACGTGATTTGACCAGCTTCTCCCAGTAAGTCTGTCCTCTCCATTTGACCCATCATTCGATGCCCCTGCAGCCTCTGTCAGACTGGAGATGTTTTCCCATTTGTACATGTTTTTAGTTGGTGCAGTACACTGAGGCTCCAGCAGAGGCCACTGTGCACCTGTCTGACTGCACATGTTTACTCCCTGCAATCTGGAACAGGAGAGGCTCATGTCTGGGACTTGCCTTCATTTTCCGGTGTGACGATGTGATGTTTGTCGGTGCCGTTGGGAATTGCCTTCCTGCAACACATTCAAAACGCAAGGCAATCAGCAACACAGGCCTGAGACTGCCTCATTACACAGTGAGAAAGAGGACTATTCTGAGCGCTGCATATGGTTCTTTTAAAGGACAACAAATGCATTTAAATGTACGTATCTGTACATCGGATAGCAAAAGGTACTGCATGATTTACAAAAAGAAGCAGAAGAGATCATCACATGAACTCAAAGCATAAACATTTGCAGGTGGTAAGTTGTCATTTCACTGCAATATTTCCATCTCTTTTGTTGATCAAACATTTCCCATTTTCTTTTAGCTTATATATTGTGTGTGGGGATGTGTGTGTGTCTTGCATCTTTTCTGCTGTTTTTGTATAGTTTTGTTCGCAAAATTCAAAATGGTCTTTTCTGTGTTCAAGGAATGATGGGGGTTGGAATTTGAAGAGTTAACTTGCAAAAGAGATTCAAGATTCCATTCAATTCATTCGTTGAATTCTTCTAATTATCATCCACATGTTTTTTTTATCGGCGGCAAATATGAAAAGATTGGCTAAAGAAGGGGTGAAACTAAAAATAAATAACTATTAACTATTAATTCAAAAAGCTTCATCCAACTCCTTTTCAAAACACACGTATAGGAAAAGTTGTGTTTTATGTTCTACAATAAACATGTTCGTAGTAACAACACTAAATGGGTTCAACTTCTACAATTCAATAAGGCCTGAATGATCATTTCAGCAGCCTTAAGATCCACGGTATACAGTATACCTGGATCATCAATCGTCTCAACAGACTTGATTCTCCAAAAAGATCAAGTCTGCGGCCAATTTGGTTTGAACCCACATTAAGAAACACAATTTTACTTCTTGTTGTTAATTTAATCTAATTTGAATTTTGGCTTTTTGGTCATTTAATTACTTTTGATATGAAAAGAGTACGTTCTTGGACTGAACCAAAAGTACAAAAGGCATGTCATTGCAGACCGATAGAATAAAATAGTATCATTAATTGCATCACGGTTTCTGTGTTTATAATGTTAATAAATTATGGTGAAAACTACCCATACTTAAAGCTATTTTGGATATAAACAGATAGAGCAGTCTATGTGTATACTGTTTTTGAACATTAGGCGTGTGACCGTGGAGCTTACATGCGTGGCACTTGGAAGATGGCGCTGTCCACTCCACTGTCTGCCCCGTCCTCAGCACCTCCGTAGGCGTCCCCCACAAGGCTGGGGGCAGACAGCACCACGGAGCTCGACACGTCAGCCAGCCTGTGCCCGGGTCCTAGGGAGGAGGAGAGGGCAGAACAAAGAGGCCTGGGTGAGACCAGTGTGTCCATACAAAACAGTACGTAGTATCCAGCATAATTGTGTTGACTTAGAGAATTATTACATTGCTATAGCAGGTTGTATTATGCATATGGATAAACATGACAAATATGACAAATCTAGTGAGAGATGGTCAGTGCTTCCATCACAAAGTAGGAGACTACCTTAAAGCAGACATAACCAGCTGCTGTTCTCTATACAATACTCTGTGACCCTAGTGTCTCTGTAATTAAAGGTGCGCTTCATTAATCCCCGTAGCGCAATTCATCCTCTGCATTTGACCCATCCTGATGCCGCTATCCACTCAGCCACCGTGCCGTCCGTAATAAATATATAGTTTATATGAAACGAGTCGCGTAGCTCCTCCTGCAGTTCCCCTTTTGCCCCCAAGCCCCGCCCCTTTGGCAAAGCGTCAATGAAACCTAGCAGCTCTGCCTCTCCACAGACAAAGTTGCGATATTATTATTTTCTTTCAAGAGTGGTGAGTCCTCCACACATCAAATGCAGTCGAGTAAATTGCAAGTGAATGAAGGGGCTAAGTGTCTGTAGTTAGAGGACTGAGGGGAGAGCGATGGGGATGTGCGAATATGAGGAAATCAATAACTAAAACATGCATGAATCTAATAAATATTAAACATCTAATATGAATTGGTGTTGTAAAAAAAATGCAAGATGACTGGAGAAACTCCGAAAACTAATCTAGAGGAAGAACTCTTCCACAGAGAACATCGTGGTGTGGCAAATTTAAAAACTCAACAAGCATTTAGACGAAAGAGGTGGCGGGAAGTATTTATGCAGATTTACACCAGAGCAGATGGAGCTAAAACAACTCCAGGTCTGAGACTTTTGATGGGAACAATGGTTTAAAAGCGAGAGGTGTCTTTTTTGCATGTGAAGCTTCCACTCTAACCATGCATTGAAAAAAACCTTTGTGCAAATATTTAAACAAGAAAATAACCATCTTGTTTTTATTACACTGAAAATGTGCAATAAAAACAACATTGTGACTTAACTGTTATCCTTTTTCAATGTATTTCTTTCCCACTGCCACCCAGCATTTTGAGGCACATGTTGAAATGCTATGCTGACCGTGGCAGGACAGCAATGGAAAAGGCTTTTTTTTTACAAAGACAACTTTATGAAAGAAAGAGCAGCACGTGAAACAGCCCAGTGTTACGCTGTTATTGCGCTTTGTGTAGTTTTATAACCTGATCTTCATGTAAGCAACCGTTTGGTTTAATTAATCGCATCAGGTCACTTACATATACTAATCTGCTTATTCTGTGGAGGCTAATAAAGACTCCAAAAGCATGAAACACAACTGTTTGTGTGAATAAGAAGACAAAACCTCCGAAACATGGTTAAAAGTCCAAAGGTGTGTGCTCCTTAAACACACTCACAGTTGAAGGTGGAAGCCCCACAGTATCACAGATCATTTCCAGTCTGTGTGTAGACCAGAGCGCGTCGCCCATGTGGGAGATTACCAGAGCAGGAAAGTGAAATCTCTGGTTGGCCGACTGCTTTTTGATATTTGCATAACAGAGGAAATTTTACACAAGACAGATGCTGTGAATGTGCCCAGTGCTGGTCTGTGCCTGAGTGTGACCGGAATGACAATGCTTTGGATAGAATCATGTACGGAAGTAGAGGAGGAGACGATTTAATAACATGTAATCATTCAAAATATGTATACAAAGGTAAAGGTCTTAACACACTGTCTGTTTTGAAAATGAGTACACTGCAAAAAGGTTTCTTAACTTGAGGACATTTGGACTGAGATTTGCCAATAGGAAAAGCAGAGTGATCTCATTTTAGAAAGATACAAGAAATGTCTCCTTTGAAACGAGAAAATTAAGCAACAGTGAGACTAAATAGATTGTCCCATTGGCAAATCTTGTTTTAAGACAGTCAGAATTTGTAGATACGTTTACGTTTGCAGTGTATTATTCGGTTTGTAAGCTTCATAAGAAGAATTTGGATTCTTGTTTGTACCCACTGTACAAACAAGAATCCAAATTCTTCTTATAAAGGATGAAAAGTTGTTAGATTTTACAATGAGTAGTATTTTAAACGTTTATATTTCTAAATCAATTTAATTAATTAGGCGCTCGAGTGTCATATACAGGCCATAGACCACACAGATTACACCACATGGGAGTGGGCTCAAAAGGAGGAGGCAGAAGCCAAAAATGCCTGTGTGATCCGACTCCTTAACACTTTGTTGTTTTGGGTGATAACAGACAAGATATCTTCGGATAATATCAGCCGCACTTGTCTTTTTAATCTCCATTGATTGGATTGAATAGATCTGATCGTAAACATACTTCATCTTTGCACCTCTTAAATGTAAATATTAGTTAAGTATAGTAAGATTACGTAACACTTTATGATGTCTTTGCGTGTGTGTATAGCAGATTAAAAGCTTACACCCAGACCCATCCTCAAGTGCATGCGATGTGTGCCAAATTTTAGAATTAAATTGTCTTAGCATTATCAATGAGACATACAGTATATCGTGCTCAAACTCATTTATAGGCATTATCCCACTACAGGCCTGGTGTTTAAGACCAGGACCAAATGGTGAATCGACTTGGGAAACAAATGTAAACGCTCTGCAAATTTTTTTTTAGTCCTGTGTCCTCCCCGTGTTTTCAGGATAGGAACAAAATCTCAATCAAAAGTCACGACAAACTTCTCTCTTCCGAAATCAGTTTACACTAGATCTATAATAATTGACCACAGAAAGTTTATCATCCACATGGAGTAATATAGACAATATATACAGAAGGTTGCAAAAGTACTGATACAGCTTGAACTGTTGAGAATGTTGTCAAGTTTACAACCACATTTTGGATTATTTAACAAAACAAACATCTATCAAATGAAAGCAACATGATCCATAATTCTGTCCTTTATGTGTTTTTGTAATCAACAATGTAAAACTGGGGTGTGCATACAGCATCGGTAAATTATTTTTGGAACCCCGTTTTGCTGCAATCAGAGCAGCCAGTCATTTCTGTATCACTCTACAAGCTTTACACATCTGGAGGCTGAAGGTTTTTCCCATTTGTCTTAACAAAACGACTCGAGCTCTGTCAGATTAGATGGAGAGCATTTGTTAGCAGCAGTTATCAGGTCTTTCCATAGATTTCCAATTGGACTTACTGCTGTTGTGAGTCTGAGCTAAACAAAAATACTTATACTATAATAATATGTATTTATAATAATATTTCTCCCCCAAATGGCATGAATTCATTTATATGTATACATTTCAGACCGTCAAACAGTCCCAATGGATATTAGTAACATTCTATATCTGCTCCTTTCATTTCCCTCACCTGATGGTCACACTTGACGGTTAGCCGAATCTTTAGTCTCATTGGCCATTGGTTGCAGTTCCGGAAATCGTTGCAGTTTTGTTTGTTATGAGGGCAGGGGTCGGGGGAGGGGTCAGGGGCCTGGGTGCGGTCTTATAGTTCCTTTGGGGGGTGCTTTGGTCAACATGCTCAGACAGGCTGCAGCGGTGGGCCAGGAAGGCTGCATAAGCAAGCTCCGACACGGGACAGACGGACACCACAACCTCAGGAACTCTACTTTTTATATTTGACATATTGTTTTAAGGGAACTGCGACATTTTGTGCATGGTCTTTTTTTTGGATTACGCTCAGTCAAATCAATTATTCTCTTGCAATTATTCTCTTAAAGTCATCTATTAGGGTCCAAACTGCTCTGTGCTTCAGTTTATGTTTAAGATAAAATATGCACTGTTAGCATGCTAGTTTTGACATTGTTGGGGAAAGTTGGAATATCACAATATAACAAATTGTTATAAATGTATTGAGGATGCACGATAATATTGGCCAGTAACAGCCTGATTATCGGCCCACAGCGTCACATGACTGAAGATGAGAGTTACTTTAGCAAAACTGCTCTTCACCTGAGGCTAGGGTATCACAAAAAACACACAAACATAACTATACAATAAAGACCATGTAACCAGTTCCTCACTCAGGTCAAACAGGTTATTCTTTCACTAGCTTTCACATGCATTTATGTTTGGCTCAGATTTTTAAGAAAAAAAATTTATCTTTCAGCCCAAAGGGTAGAATAGTGACTCACAGGGCTCTTACTTAAAAGTGTGGAAAATAGAACATGTTTTCTCACAACATTTACAAGAGTATTTCTGTTGTACAGTTATTATTTATGAAACAAAATAGTTGGTACCCCAGCTTTAAAGGAGCAGTATGTAAAAATCTGGCCAAAAGTGGTACTGCAACCTCTCCCACTCTCCCTTAACCAGGTTGCCAGATATGCAGACGAATCCAGCTGGGACCATAATATCTGAATAGACCAGAGTTTTGTCAACAACAAATCTATAACCAACACCTTTTTCATGAAGATCAAAATCCTTGTTTTGTCAATAATGATTTGAGAAGAAGTAAGTAATCTTTTTTTAAATAGCACATTTTTACAGACCAAAGCGCTTTACAAGAAAGAACAGTTTGACTCAGATTCAAACCATTTTATTCCAACTACTCTGTTCTATATGCACACAGTCTCAAAGCCACTGATCGCTGGGCACACAAAAAGAAACCTGTAAGAATTGAATAATGAAATACAAATAAAAAAAATAGTGTATATCGTGTATGTCACTAATCCGTGGAAAAAGCCATTGATTATTGTGCATCACCAATATTTATCGCATTGAGTTTGTAAGTGCAGGCAACTTTCAAAGCACAGTGAGACGTCACAGTAAAGCTAACAACAACTATCATGCTAACAGCCCTCTTTATCAACTATCTGTGCTGGGAAAACAAATGCAGTGGTATTAGTGGAAGTAAGAAAATTCCACACGTTCTCACTCATTCCTCACATCAGTATATTTTCACCACAAATGCTTTTCACAGCTTTCAGAGCTCAGTGAGACTTTTACCCTCTCTGCTTTCCAGACAATAAAGTCCAATCAAGACCCTTCTCTTTTTGACACCAACATCTTAATTTACAACAAAACCACACTGGCGCACAACTAGTACACTAAAACTTATTTGGTTTACTGGGATTCACTTCATTATAGTATTTAAATGGTTATTATTATGCCGTGTAATTGAACCGACACTTTAGGGTTGGCCAACAATTGTCCGGACCGATGATGAGAATCAGGACCGATACGGACTTTTTTTATCATTTCCAATATAGTTGTTTTTTGTCAAATACACTTAGTCCACTCCAGCCAACTGGTCGAAAAACAGCAATACTACAACTCAACACAAACATATTAGTCTACTCATGTGTTCTCTGACTCCCGATTATTAGTTTAGCTTGGTGGAATTTCATTTTTCCTATTTATTGATTTAATTAATTCAGACATTTAAATGAAGTGTTGAAATTTGTATTGAAAAAGTTGGCACCAATAATTTCATGAATATCTTGGTTATGGGCCACTTTAAACCACTAATTATTGGAATCAGCCGTGAAAAAACACATCGGCTGAACACTTTCCTTTGATGGGGAGAAGGCTGTGATAGGGCTGGGGAAGAACACCGCAGCAAACAGGAGAGCGGAGGAGCAATCTGCGGGACGTCACGGCGCTTTCAGGCTTGGTTAGATTTACACAGTGCTAATGAGCATGCAGGACGGACAGACGGACAGACAGAGGGGGAGAGGGAGAGAGTGGATGAGTGGCAGCAGAAGGAGGTGGCTCAGGGCAGGGATTTACTTGGATGCAAGCGGGACTGTTGCACTGCGGCCTCGGCGGCTGCGATGGCGATGCCCGCGTCCTCCAGGTGGGATTGGGTCACGCTGCTCTTGCTGTGGGAGCGCGAGGGCCCGTGGGACAGCAGCTGGCCCTCGGAGGACGACTTGGAGCTGCCCGGACTGCTGTGGGACTTCTCCAAAGGCAGCATCTGCATGTCTGGGGGAGACACCAGGAAGTTAGCGTGTGAACATATTATTTTGATAACAGTAGTCCAGTTCTCAGGTTCTCTCTGGTTTCCTGTGGCTCAGAGAAGAGACTTTAAAACAGCTCTGCTCGTGTACAAGTCTCTCCAGGGCCTCGCAAAAAAGTACATCTGTGACATCTTGGTCCCATATGAACCAACTTGGACTCTGAGGAGCACAGGGACTGGTCTTCTGCTGGTGCCCAGAGTCAAAACTAAACATGGGGAGGCAGCATTTCATATTTATGTGGCTAAAATCTGGAACAGTCTTCCTGAAAATGGAAGACAGGCTTCTTCTCTGACAATGTTTAAATCCAGATTAAAACAGTTCTGTTTAGCTGTGCATTCAACCGAAGGACTTTATCTTCACTCTTTTTGACAAAATATGGGAACTAATGATTTAAATGCATTGTGTGATTGTTTCTATCTTGTTTTGTTCAGCACTTTGAGTTTCATTGTGTATGAACTGTGCTATTCAAATAACCTTGCCTTGCCTTACTTTGCCTTTAGTTGAAGGACAATGAATGACAAGTCACTCAATCTCGTAATTCTAGGTTCAGGCATAAGCAAAGACCACATCATGCAGTCGTTATCTTCTTAATAATTAGCATTTTGGCAAGAAAGAGCCCAGTGTCACTGTTTAACACTTTGGGCTCTGAGCTATCGCTATTTTTCACTTGTCTGTCTGAAAAAGCTGTGACGGAGGACCAAAATACACCCGTGTGAAAACTAGTGATGGAACCAAACTGGGGAAAAATGGCGCCGTGGTGTGTGCCGTCTTCTCTCTGGTGCACACTAGGGTAGTCTTGCACAGTTTTCCAATGTGATTTTACTACAAATGGCAAATACATCCTTGAATCTTGAACTGGAGGTTGTAAATTTGACAAAATGGGAGTTGAAACGAAGACAGAAGACATGTTGCACAGACGCCATTTACTGTATTTCCCCTCTTTATTGGGCAAACACCCTGTTGCTCTTGGAGATGAACGAAGGATGGTGCGACATCACCAACCTCCTGTTCCCTGTGATCTGCTGAGATACACCCAGAGCTTTGTAGACTTCAGAGCCTCACCTCCAGTCAAGAGATGAGAAGAGGCTTAGAGGAGCTAACAGAAGCAGGTCAGGCTGCGAAGGCTGACTGACACGGATAAGCGACAGAACGTTTGGCCCGAGACCTTTGCGCGCAGATGACATTTGTATGATTGTAATTACAGCTGTCAGAAAGGTGGTTTTCACATCACAGAGGAAACGGAGCCACTGCAGCAGCATCACAATATTTCCCACATGGTAGATATTGCATTAGAAGCAGGTTTCCAGAAGGTATTAATGGCAAGTTTATTTGTATAGCAGTCTGTGGTGGCCCTTTGGTGTTGGAAAGTGACGCTTGCCTTTAGTGTCACTCGAGATTAAAAACTAAAATATGAACAATGAAGCAGAAGTGTCCAGTTATCCAGTCCAAAGCTGTAGTAAAAAAATTTAAAATAATACCTTTTAAACTGTAACACATGCAAGCGTTCAATGGGGAAAAAAGCTGCAATCATTACTGCAATTATTTAGTAATTTGAACAAAATGTCAATAATGCAAGAATTTAAAAATATCTTGAGTTTAGTACATTTTGTTGCTTTTTAAAGCGGTATGTCCTTGGCGCCACACCTGTATTGTAATTAGCACTTATCTTATCCTCTAGGTGGCAGTGGCACTCCCGGAGCGCCCTCTGCTGTATTTGGATTCACCACAATTCATACTGTACACAAGGCAACTCAAAGTGCTTAAAAAACAGAAATGAAACATCACACGAGGCATTCAAAAAATAATCACAGTATATTAAACAAGATTGAAGATACAATCCTTGCACAGCGAAGCAGAAATGTTTCAACCTCAATTTGATAAGTGTCAGAGTAGAAGCCTAATGATGAAATATTGAGCATTCTAATTGTAATTACTAAAAAGTGTAAAGCTAACGTAGCTTACGACATAAGGTCATATCCATTTAGAATGCTGAGTCATGTCTGACTGAAGTCATGCTCAACAATTTAGTTTTAATTGCACATCCAGCAGTAACATATAAACAGGAAAATCTGCAATAATCCAAGAATCAGAAGCATTTCAGATTTCTTATTGTCTTATTGTGTATTTTGTATTGTATCAGAAAGCAGGGAACAGCATCCTCTTTCCCGACACAAACACACCAGCGGGCGAGAGTGGGCGGGGTCAGTCTGAGCGACCCATCAGGTCAGGAATCAGGCTGACCACGCCTACTCAGGAAGTAATATTAATCAGCTGATATATGACACGTCAGGCAGGTGTCAGTTCTGAAGATGGCTAGGAGCTCTGCAGTCAAAACATGTTAATTAACTAAAACGTCTAACTTGTCTTTTAAAAGAACCTGGTTTAATCATTGCGAGGTGAGATTGTATTTTTATGTCTATATCACAGAGGGAAGATTGTAAAACGATAACATTTAAATTGTGTTTTCCTACCTTTTGACACCCTTCAAGTGCTTAACATCAAGGATTCCTCATACACACACATCAATCAATCAAATCGCACATGGAATCAAAATAACATATATAACCACAGTGCATTGAACAGAGTAAAGATAAAATGCCTCAGTTGTATGCACAGCTAAACAGAACTGTTTTTAACCTGGATTTGAAAACTGTCTCATATTTTCAGGAAGATTGTTCCAGATATTAGCAGCATGAATCTGAAATGCTGCCTCGCCCAGTCTAGTCCTGACTCTGGGTACCAGCAAGAGCCTACTTCCTGTGCTCACAGATGTACTTTGGTGCGAGGCCATGGAGAATTTTGTTCACAAGCAGAGCTCCTTTAAAGTCTATTATCTGAGTCACAGGAAGCCAGTGCAAAGACCTGGGAACTGGACTAATGTGATCATACTTCCTCTAGTCAGAACTCAAGCTGCACATTCAGTGTTCACAGACACTGTGGGTGAGGTGTCTTGCCTATGGACAAACCTGCCAACCTGCGAGCGGTGCATCTGACCGCTCAACTAACAACGTTTATGTCAGCCTCAAACCTTGCCATCCAACAGCTCAGCTACAACTGAGCTACTGCGGCAGGATGTGTTTGGGTTTGTTGGGGCTTGTGAGTACTGCCGCAGAAAGTGTCACAAAATGAGTCCGGTGTGTGGGTGTTAGTGAGAGGGGCTGAGAGAGAAGATTGGCAGCCCTATTCCAACATGGATTACCACCAGAGTTTATAGAGTGAACGAATAAAGCAATTTACCGTTGGGTGTGCTAAAAAACTACTTTCTATCTCAGGCATTGTCACTCAACCACATGCCAGGCGTTTAAAGAAGACGTGCCAAAGTGCTACTGTCGGCAAGATATTAATTTGTTCCGCTTTATCCGTTGCTAGTTGCTGGTTGTGAAAACCAAATTCTTTTGAATCAGAATCAGAATTAGAATCAGAATCAGAATTAGAATCATTTTTATTGCCTCGTAAGTAACAGGAAGTCACAGATTTGGAAATTGCTTTGGCTCAGTGCAACAGTCAGAAAGAGAGGTAAGGGTAGAGAAGGCATAGTAAAAAATAAAAAATAATGATTTATCAGTACCATTATTCTCCAGCATTCAAAACGCCATTGCCCTGACAATACTTGTTTTCATCCATGTTGTTTTCCTACTTTATTAGAAGATATTCGGACTTTTTTGCACATACTTAAAGCCAGAGGTGTGGACTCGAGTCATTTGACTTGGACTCGAGTCAGACTCGAGTCATGATTTTGATGACTTTAGACTCGACTTGACCAAATATAAAAAGACTTGCGACTCGACTTGGACTTTAACATCAATGACTCTGACTTTCACTTGGACTTGCACCAATTGACTTGTAAAGACTTGCGTAACCCGGACCATTTTTACCTTTCTCCGCATCTCTCTTTCTATCTATGCCTATCTAAGCGGCACAACTCGGCAGAACACCGTCTCTGAAGAAACAAAGCCTCGCGGTAGTTGTAGCGCTCGCGCGAGAGTTCGAACGTGAGTTTCCCGCAGTTCGCGCAGCAACACTTCCCTAAACAAGCGCACTGCATTCACCGGTGGGTGTGTTGTCGTAGGGGAGCTGGAAATGAGCGAGCTGCAGGTATTTATCGCGACCTAACGTCATATTTTGTTCTACAAACCGTAATTGATATGCTTTCACTACAGGCGCCTCATACAATTGAATCGACGCAGTTGTCACACTGTGTGCCGTGTTTTAAAGAGGAACTGGTGAGTCAAACTAGCGCTAGCCTGCGCTGCTCTGTTAGCTCTTTCTTATATTTTTCTGTGTGGGCGCCAAGGCCTATTATTATTAGTATGTTTTTGCTGTGCTCCTCCTGCTAAAGTTTGCATACATTAGATAGTTGTTTTGATTATGTGCACTAAGCTAGATTAATATTTGCACTATTGTTTATGGTGCATTGATATGAGAATCAGTGCTTTGACTGATTGAATTAATTTATATGAGACATTTTAATATGTAATGATATATTGGTAATTATGAGATATTACTAATGCTGGTCCAGTTCATACAGGCCAGGTTCCTTCCCCTCCATTGGTCCCTTCAGTCCTTTGCGCCCCCCCCTTTTTTTTTTTTTTTTGATGGCGAGCTGCCCCAGGTCCAAAGCCTGGACCCCTCATACTACCCCTATCCTACAGTAGGACATTTGGAACAATAACCACTACGGACATTAAACTGATTATATAGATACAGGTCCCAGCCCAATACTGAGATTAATTGATTATAATATAAGCATACTATTCATATATGCTGCACTTGCTACTTCCCATTAAAAACCCCAAAGATAAAAAGTATGTTGACACGGACTGCTCTGATTTTATGTGTGGTCTGTGCATGTGTAACTGAGCCTGCATCTGGCACAACATCCAATTAGATCACGTAGATAGTTTTGATTTATCAGCAGCCAACAACATGGAAGAAACTGTTAGTCCATGGGTCAGAGATCAACGAGAATGCACCAGCAAAATGATTCCTAACATTATTTTGTCCATCCATTTTTCCATCCATTTTCTACCCTTTAATCCATTTCTGGGTCAGGGGGGTGGCAGTCAGAGATGCCACCCAAGTCTCATAGCACCAGCCCCTCACTGACCCTCTGCAGGTGGTGAGTCCACAGGAGGACGGCTGCTCTCTGAGTGTGAGCATAGCCTTGATCTTTCAGTGGGGATCAAGGCTATGAGAGAAATGAGAAAAACATTATTTTGTTTGCCTACAAAAGTACGTGGAGACCAACAAGAAACAAATCGCGGTCAAAAAGACTCGAGAGGACTCGAAAGTCAAACCGTAGGACTTGGGACTGACTTGAGATTTGTTGGCCTTTGACTTGGACTCGACTCGGGACTTGCCTGTCTTGACTCGGGACTTGACTCGGGACTTGAGGGCAATGAATTGAGACTGACTTGTGACTTGCTAAACAATGACTTTGTCCCACCTCTGCTTAAAGCACAAATAATTGTGTTTTTCATCCCATTCAATGCACCTTGCTCCTTCCTCTGCGTGTTCAGGCTGAAGTGGGGCAGAGTGGTTAACCCTTGTGGAGTGGATGTTGGCTCAGTCTGTGTAACAGCTGGAGCAGCGTCTGTGAGCCCTTCACTTGTTAAGAGGTCTTTTCTCCAGGTGCTGTGCCTTTCACCTACACTCCAACCAGCTGGAACTTTAATCTGTGATCTGTATCCCTTTAACTCATTCCTATCTGCAATTTCAAATAATACATTATGAGATAAACAGATAACTTGTGCCAGTTGCTCCAGCGAAAGAGCAAACTGTAAAGGACTGAGAGGGCACCCCTGTCTTTAGCCCCAAGCAACAGCAAAAAGTGGGAAACAATTGATTCAAAAATAGTTATTTGCATTACAATAGATTCATGTTTGAGTAATCCTGCATTGTCCTGCATTTGAAACTTTAGAGTTCGGAAAATGTCAGATTTCACATTCCAACCCGTCCTTACTGATGCAGCATTTTTCATTAATTCCAGCATTTTGCATTAACTAAGGACTGCTCTTTTGACAAACTTGTAAAAATAAGCCTTTGCTTTTGTAATTTTGAATGTATGAATGCAATTTATTGTCCTCAATCAAATATTTTGAAGAACAATATTTTGCCACATAAATGTAAATGAGATATTAAAACTGCTTTGCACTGACATACAGTAAATGCGTAAAACAGCATAACAATAGTTGTAGACAGGTTCAATTCATGAGACGCACAAATAGCTTATTCAAATCCATACAGCTTAGTTTGTGTCATATTGCTCTGAAAATAGTCTCCTAATGTTACATGCAATGGAACTGTCAAGCACCAAAATACTAAATCCATCCATCAATTTTTGGAGTGACTGATATGGTAAGATAAAAACCGATTTAGTAATCTTTTTTGGTATAGTGATCAGAACAAATGTGTCAAATATGTATTTTCTCTCTGGCTGTTCCTTTTCAGTTAGTCTGAGTACCGTTGCTTTGATATGAAATTATATTTTGTAACACAGTTTAGTATGAATGTGATGTATCAGGCCGTACCTTTGCTCGGGTCGGGGAAGATTCCGTGGCTACGACTCTTGATGACAGAGTTTTTGGGTGAATCGTAACTCCCGTCCGGTCCTCCCAGGCCGCCATGGCTGCTCCCTGGTCCCAAGCTGGCCCCGGAGCCATGGCCCTGTCCAGGCATAGATCCGGCCCCAGAGCCTGGGGGCCCCTGGGTGCTAAGGTGGGTCCGACTGTGCTCGATACTTTCACTCTGCTCCTTGAGAGGCAGCCAGCGCGGGATGTTGTCCATCTGTGACGTGTTGGACAGGTCGATCAGCACCTACAAGACACAGACCACAAACACATTCAAGCTGGGAATGTGAAAAGTACTCAAAATTCTGTTTCACAAAACCACAGCAGTTCTTTGCGACTTTAAACAGATATAGTTCATACAATTATCAATGATAACATCTGAAATTCCAATTGATTGAGAAGATTATAAAATGTATTTTAAAAGTCCAATAAGGCACACAGATTAAGTTGCACAGATGAAGCAGCTGTGGGCATAAAGCTAAATTTGAGCTGTGGCGTTCTTGATTTTAGACTGTGATGCATTTTCACAGACTCTATGCCAGCAGTTCTGACAGTTTGGCTGAGACTGTGCCTCTCCTTAGGGGTGCAGCTGCTGGACCGAGATAGGAGACTCTCCACTGTTCCTCTGTAGAACAGTGTCATAGCCTGAATGGGGGGTCCGCATTGTTTAGTCTGCGTAGGAAGTGAAGGCGCCGGTGGGCCTACGTCATCACAGCTGTGGTGTCGTCCCTCGTACCTCAACGATGTAGTAACAGATGTACCTTGTTACTACAAAATGAATACTCTGATTGCCAGACCATCAAACGTCTATGACAATGCTGGTGTTTTCTGGTGTTGAGGATTTGTCTTCCACAAACCAGTATTAAGACAAACAACAGTGGCCATCCACAAAGGCTGTGATGCGGTTCCTCGCATAGGTGTCACCATGTGAGCAGTGTAAACAGTAAAGGGCTCAGATCACAACCTAGTGGAGTACCTGTGCTGACACTTGTAGTTCTTGCTGACTTTAACTGTTGTTTTTGCGTCACAAAGTTCAGGATCCACCTGCACTTGCCTTACCAGTTGTGATAGTGTATGGTGGAGCAGAGTACCGATATCATTTTCTGTTGAGCTGTTTATAGCTCTCTTTACATCAGGACACTTTCTATACAGCAAAACATTTCCCTAAATGTTTCTTAAATAAATCACAGAGGGGTCACAGTGGCTCAGTTGGTAGAGCATTGGCCTTTGGGCCTGATGGTCGTGGGTTCAAGACCTACTTAATGCTATTTTGCTTTGTTCAGCACTTTGAATTGCCTTGTTTATGAATTGTGCTATACAAATAAACTTGCCTTGCCATGCCTTGCCTTACTTCACGACTCCCACTGATGTCTACTGTCGTTGTGTCCTTGGGCAAGACACTTAACCCCATTTTGCCTGAAGCCCCCGCTGAAAGATGAAGTCTCCTGTGGACTCATCACCTGCAGGAGGTTCAGGGAGGGGTTGGTGCTAAGTGTACTGGGTGCAGCTCTGACTGCCACCCCCCCGAACCAAAAATGGATTAAGGGGAAGAAAATGGATGGATGGTTTCTTAAATATGTTTTATTTATTGATGTTATTGATGATAATTGTGTTAAACGTCTTTCTAGGAACGGACATTTCAAATTAGCCTTGGCTATAAATATTGCAGTGTTTTACATGTTGATTGTGTACACTTGTCCCTACCAAATAAATCAAACAATAAATAACACAATAATTCTCAATTTATTTTATAGTTTCAGGGCTCCAAGTTCAGTTTGTTTCTCCTCAATTTTCGAAAAAAAAAAAAAAACTAGTGTGGAAATAAAGGCTAATGTAATAAAACTTTTGCAGACATACAGAGCTGAAACGTGAAGTTAATCAGGAGCAATGTGAGGTCTAAATTAATTATTGTATCTTAGCGCTATATAAGTTTGATGTATTATTATTATTATTATTATTATTATTATTATATTTGGATTGACTTTTCTGCTGTCTCTGATTCTACTCACTTCTCCCAGAAAGTCATTGGAGGACAAGCGGTCGTAGTCCCACACGGTCACCTCGAGGGTCTTCTTTTTCAGCTAAAAACATAAACATTGTCAAAAAAAGATACATGTCTACTGCTCAGGTTCTCTCACAAAACAAAAAATTGCCGATGCTAACAGTGACACGATTTGTACCTGCTCAAGATGAATGTTCTTATAGATGACTGTTTGGTTCCACTCGGGGTTGACCGTCTTCTGCGCGTACTTGGTTCTCCGCTTGTTGTCGGCGCTGATGAAAAGCAAACATTTCAGACACTTTATCAAAGGTCACGGCTGTCCGCTGTGATGTCGAAATCAGCGAGTGCACTGGATGGATGCATTGTGGAAGTGAGTGCCAACATGGTGTGAAGGGAGTCAACCTATGTGTGGAGAGTGCCATGTCCTTTTGCATACAACACACTGCAAAACATATCTGCACAAGTTAAAATCTGTGGAGGAGATGAAACCTGGGAGACCTGGCTGTTTGTTTTTTTAATATAAATCTAAAATGAAAAACAATGAGAACAAAATAGATTAAAGGGCCCTCAATAGTTAATATGCAAGATTCTGTTTAAAAGGATGAGCAAAAATGTATGTAACTTGATTTTTTTAAACTTTTTTTAGTAGTTATTGCAGTTTGAAAATAACATACCACAGCTTTAACGGTATATTCTAATTCCAATTACATAAAAAAATGATTAGATTGCTTTTTGTTCTATAATTGTTGTTGGAATATGTTCTAATTCTAATTTCTTTATTTACTGAAAGGATTGATATTATGCATACATTTTTGATTTCTTTAAAAGTCTTTAATGTTTAGTGACCCATAAGTGGGTCGCTGGATTATTTTTAGTGGGACAGGAGCCTCTGGGCAACTTTCTACTACCACATAAAGATTGATAATAATAATAAAAAAATATAATTAAAAAAGTCACACATTCCTTGGGTTAATTTGTTCATAATTGTTAACTTTGTAGTAATATTAAACGCTATAACTGTATTCGACTGATATTGATCGACTAAACTCATTTCTTATTTGGGTCGTAGCTTTTGCGTTTTATGGGTGGGTAACACCACTGTTAAGAGTTGAGAACCACTTTTATATTTGATGATCACATTTTTAAAGTTTTCACAACAAATGCATAGATATTTTCCCTTTGGAATATATATATAGTCCTTGATTCATTAATGCTATTCAAATAACTGCAAGATAACAACAGTTTAAAATACAATTTGACTATTGTTGTGACAAGTTAGCAGTAAGTAAGTAAGTAAGTAAGTAAGCTTTATTTATATACCGCCTTTCACAGACCAGAGTCACAAAGCGGTTTACAATTGTTATTTTTGGGCACTTGTCCTCTCACTCCACACAGAGATGGGAGCGGGGTCGCCGAACAGGAGGCGCATGCCAGACCTATTGGACATATTTTTAGTGGTAGGGGAAACCGGAGTACCCGGAGGAAACCTACGCAGACACGGGGAGAACATGCAAACTCCACTCAGAAAGGCCCTTGTCCGGCCGGGATTCGAACCAAGGACCTTCTTGCTGAGAGGCGAGAGTGCTATCCACTCAGCCACCGTGCCGCCCAGAAAATCTTTCCCAGAAAATCACTTTCCCAGTGATTTTCTGGGAAAGTTGCTAATGCACCACTGTCAGAATATGAAATAATAATAAACTTCTCAAACTGTATAGGAACCACATACAGTCTCAAAGTAACTTAAAAGCCTGATTTTAACTTTTATACATATTGGCTTTTGCAGTGAGGCTAATAGTGCAATGTATGGACGTGATTGTTGCAGCGGGTCGACAAATGACGAGAAAAAGACAAGGAACAATGGGGAAAAGAAGAGTGGGGAGCAGACTCTGAATGTAAATCATAACGAGCACACGACCAACGGAAAAGGCCAAAAGCACCACGCTACCTTGCGTTCTGGACAACCATGACTTGTCTGAGGGAGTCCAGAAGAAGAGGAGGAGGAGGAGGAGGCCAGAGACCATAAACCAACCAGGAGAAAGCAAAACACAAAAACAACAGTCAGACAAGCAGAGGACAGTGGAGGAGCGCCAGGAGCTTACAGGAGGACTGCCTGGGGACCTGCTTACAGAGACCACACAGAAGAACATCCAGACCTGTATTTTTTGTTTTGTTTAGGCCTGGAGTGAAACTGTGTACTGCATTGCCTCAAAGCTGCATTGCACAACTTTTCTGACGAGATCTACTACCCACTTGATGCCATGGTGATGTTATTTTTTATGCTATTAGATAAGAGCATCCTTTTCAAAGCAACAACATTCAAATGGACCCAAGCAAACTGCGGACCCTCCACCAGGAAAAATGCACAATGCTCCTTTAAGCCTGATGCCCACTGCATGGTTTTGCTTTACTCTTTTGATATCAAGACAAAAAGCAGTCTGACAGTGAGAGTGTTTTCTGATTTTGACCTTGTAGTAGTAGTAGTAGTAGTAGTTTATTATTTCAGTTATTATGTACATTATATCTCAGGTCACATGTTTTCAAGGATTGTATATACATTTTAGAAAAAGAAAAAGAAGAAAAAAAAGGTGTCTATGAATTTTAGAGCATGCTATCTAGTTATTTTGATTCACATTTTAGTATACTTTCTCCCCTCCCTAATTTACAACAAGTGACGCGCGTAACATAATGTAGGAGTCCTATTGTCTTAGTTGCATCAAATGTACACCAGCAGCAAAACACGCAGCGAGAGCAGCCGTAATTACGTTAAGTGCCGTTAGGAATAAGATGGATTCCATTTTTTTTTAATGTGTGACGTTCATAGACTGTATATATTAACAGATGTAGTCACGCCTATTTCCGCCGTTCTAACTAATGGGCCAAAATTGGGCTCTCATGGAGTGATTTAAAATGGCCGCGGGGGCTGGAAAATGTGAAAAAAAGCATATGTGCATGCGTCAGCCGGCACAAGCCCCATTCATTTAAACAAGTGACGGTAACGCTTTATATTAAGGTGTGCTTGTTAAGTATTAATAAGGTATTAATAGACATTAGCAACATGCTTATATATTGCTTATATGTACTTATAAACATATTAATAAGCTGCTCATTTCACTATTCTCTAAATGATGTTGTTCTAGTTATATGCTTTTAAGCATTTAATAAGTAATTAGTAAGATACTTATTAAAGGAGGAATATGTTTATAAATATATGAATAAGCTGCTTATTAAACTATTATCGATACCATGTTAATAGGCCACTAACAATATGCCTATAAAGATATTAATACGCTGCTTATTAATAGGCAATAGTGGTAATAGGCCACTAAAAATATGCGTTAATAAACTGCTTATTACACTATTTTGCAGTACCTTAATCTAAAGCGAGGAGCATTTTTGTTAATGCAGAAAAAAACACAACAATGATCTAAGATGTTTTTATTTATTCAAACAGCAACAATTAAAGTCTAAATGAAAAAAAATATCAAAATTAAGTTTGTGCCAAAAGTTTGTTAGTAACTTCAAGGAGCCATGATGCCCCCACTCATGCTCCGACCTGCTTGAATTTGGCTTTGGCAAAACAGTGAATCAACTGACTTCACGAGCCTGAGAGATTAGCGGACAGGGGTGGGAACCTAAGGGTACCTCACGATACGATACGATACACGATACAAAGCTCACGATAAAGATTACAATAACGATTTTATCACGATATGACGATTATTGATATATTGGTCAGAAATAGACAATATGCCAATTTATGGCATAAATAAAATAAAAAATACTCTTTATTTCATGATAAATAGAATGGAGATGCGTAATGTAGCCATATATTAAGTATTAATACCAATAAAAACGAAAAAAAAGGAGAAAAAAAAAACATTTTTTATTTTATTTTTCAAAATTGATATTGATACTTGGCAAATGCATATCGATAATCGAATCGCGGGAGAAAGTATCGTCACACCCCTATTAGCGGAACTCGCCTATTTTTGGGCATCGTCTGGTCCTTTAATTGTTGCTGTTTGAATAAATAAAAACATCTTAGATCATTGTTGTGTTTTTTTCTGCATTAACAAAAATGCTCCTCGCTTTAGATTAGGGTACTGCAAAATAGTGTAATAAGCAGTTTATTAACGCAAATTTTTAGTGGCCTATTACCACTAATGCCTATTAATAAGCAGCGTATTAATATCTTTATAGGCATATTGTTAGTGGCCTATTAACATGGTATCGATAATAGTTTAATAAGCAGCTTATTCATATATTTATAAACATATTCCTCCTTTAATAAGTATCTTACTAATTACTTATTAAATGCTTAAAAGCATATCACTAGAACAACATCATTTAGAGAATAGTGAAATGAGCAGCTTATTAATATGTTTATAAGTACATATAAGCAATATATAAGCACGTTGCTAATGTCTATTAATACCTTATTAATACTTAACAAGCACACCTTAAAGGCACACCGTGTAACTCTTGGCCACTAGGGGCGCTAGACCTGCAACTTTCACGTTTAGCGCCCCTAGTGGCCACAAGCAACTCAGCACTGTCGCAAAAGTCAACAAACAGTCAGCCGGTGTCTTTTGAGTGTGTATTCAGACAGCATGCACTGGTGTGTGTGTTCAAACTGTAGAGACATGCCTACAGATATTGAGAGACTCTGCTGTGGTCAGCCTCCAGACCGCTGCATTAGTAATCTACCACACATGGACTTCTATATCCTGGATGAGGGAGTTCTGCGTCTAGCTCGTGCTGCGTGGAATGACATCTTTGCAGTCGATGACATCCAGGAACCAGGTGAACAGCAGCGCTCATACAGACATGCAGCTTACAGCACGATCCCTTTCGCGTTTCCTCTTTTTAGCCTCCTCCGAAGGTTTAAAATTTTTCCTTGCCTCAGCCATGACCAGGAGTCGAGCAGGTGAAAAATGAGTAGCAAAAGCCTTAGCTCCATGAGTATATCAGCGCCTGTAGCCGTAAAGCAAGTCTTTCTTCCAAGTCACGTGACCTGGTGGCAGACGGTCCGTCTGCTCGAAACTTACATGGGCGGTATTTCAGGAGGGCAGCCCCGCTCGGAGCATTGCAAGTGTCAAGCGCTGTATATTGGCCCAAGTATTCATATAAAATAACTCATATGTGTCAACTCTTTAGGTCACAAAGTCCGCGGTGTGCCTTTAATATAAAGCGTTACTTACTCTGTACTGTAGTAATGTGAGCTGTCACACTGGCTCTACTACATGATCAAACTGTTTACATTTGATGCAAAAATCATTTAAAATGTCTCATCATTAGTATTATAAAAGAGTCTGTTTGGCCAAAATGACAGTGATCAAAATAAATGAATACTGTAACTCCAATATGTCCATTTGTAAAGAGTTTTTTTTCCCTGAGCTCTTGATTGAATCTTCTAGCCTTATCTCTGTAGGATCCAGTTTAATCAAATTAGAAATGGTTCAATCCAACTCAATCGCAGGGCAGGGTTTAACATTCTTGCTCAATCTAATCAAAATTGGACAAATGTTGGACAGAGTTATCCGGTTATCACTTGTGGTTTATGAACGTATTCAGTGATGTATAGAGGTGTGTTTTATCCTTTTATAATTAACAATAAAACATACAACACAGCGCCTTAATGGCGAAGTGGCACGCTCTCTGCCAAAACAATTTCCAAGTGGTAACTTTGTTTGTTACTTACATGGCAATAAAAATGATTCTGATTCTGATTATATTTTTATATTTCTTTTTAATGTAGTGTCATTATTTATGAAATTGTGCTATACAGATAAACTTGCCTTGCCTTAAAAAGGAAGCTAAGGTGTTTTTGTCCATTGCAACATTGCTACACTATATAAAGCAAATGAGAAAAGTATTCCATACATCAGGCATGTCCAAACTCAGGCCCAGGGACCAATTGCGGCCCTCAGTGTCCTCTCATGTGGCCATGTTAACCCAAGTTAGTTCACTTTGTCATACATCCAACTGCAGCTCAGCCAATGTTTACCTTGCTCTAAAGCCCAGTACGTCGTTGACTTAATTTGAACATAATTTACTGACATGGCGTCTCTTGCACCACCGTTAATGGTGATTATTTAGCTGGTAGCTGTAGATGGTAAAGATTTGTCATTCAGCCAACTTCAGCTCTGTTATAGATCATCATAAAGCTCAGAACAGCCCGATGCCAGTCAAGAAAGCCTGTGACGTCAGCCCCCGGACTTTTTAATGGCCCTCTTACTAAAAGGTTTGGACACCCCTGCCATACATAATTGGACCATGAATATATTTCATAGTGTTGTGTTAATTTTATGTTCGTTTTGTGTCCATGTTGAATGTTAATGTCGTTTTTGTCTGTCTTCTTGTCCGTAATAAAAGAATAAACTAAAAGACACATGTCATATTTGTGATGAGTTCAGGCTAGGCTGATCTGATTCAGCCGGGTTTGTTTGCCCTGTTGTTCTTGTCCCGTAGACTGGAGGAGCGAGGAGTAAAGGATTGAGAGCTGAGCCAATCAATGGTCTTTTCAGGCCTGATTACAGCACTGGAGAAATGCCTCTGACACGGCTCCAAAAACACCGCTGTGATCGCAACGCCAGAGGGAGGATAAATTATTCAGCCTTTGAAAATGTAGCAGCGACCAGAGCGCTCACTCTACTGCTAATAAAGCATAAACCCAGACGTGCCATGAGCCAGCAGACCCATTTGGATCTGGTTTGGTCCGGGTACAAACTGAGTTTTGGGCTTTGTGTTGTCTTGTAGTGGTAGAATCAACTTGTGAGTTTAGGGCCGTGCAAAAATCTCAACTTTTCTCAATGCATTCAAATTGCAGGTTGGGAATGATGCAATCTTTCTCACTGTTTTTGGGCAAAGATTGAGCGTGGAGCAATAACCCTCCACCCTGGCCAAAATACACACAATTGTACTCAATACAGGAAGTGTCTTTGTATAAGTATAAATCAAATGTAAATGAAC